AGTTTTATTTGGCAATTAAAAGACAAAGAAAATAACTCTAAAAAGTCAGTTTTCTGATAAATAAATGTGGAATTATAGTTAGATCCAAAGTTGACTATTTTTTTGAAGCAAAATTATGAAAATATTTTTCATGAGTTCTCTGTTTTTGACGTGTATACAAATTATATATATATATATATGTATATATTATAAAAAATGCCTCCCCACAACTTATCTTCTCAGTTCCCTCATCTTTAAACAAGCTTTAAGCGTAGGTATGTGCCTCCCTGCGGTCAGGCTACTTCCACTTCTGCTCCATGTGATCCTCTGACTAGAGTTGCCTTTTGAGTTTCTTCTATTATTATTATTATCATCACAGTAGAAGGAAGACCTACCTTGGAGTGGCTTCATTATTTACAGGCCATGTCACAATAATTCTTCGTCTATTACTAACCCTTTGAACTGTTTTTGTTCCTCTAATTGCTGTCAAAACCATAACTCTTAAGATCTTTTTTTTTCTTTCTTTTCTTGTTTTGATATTGTAGTTTTATTTTATTTTTTGGGTTAATTAGGGGAATTGCTTTTTAGTTTTCTATTTGAGTTTGCATAATTTTGTTTTCTTATTTTGCATTTCGAGTTCCCAATATTCGGACAAGGACATAGTAGTGTCTTAATTTGAGTTGAAGATGATTTTATATTTACATGAGGTAGATTAGTTTCCCTAGCTAGATATGGTTTGCCAAGTATATGAAATACACGTTAAACTAACTAATTAAAAAGTTACTCGTATTAAATTAGACACAACAAGTCATTGGTTGTCTGATAAATTTGGGCTTTGATAAATTAAATCTATTAGAGGATAGTTGTACAACAGATTTCTCCCTTGAACTATTGTGAATTCATTTTTTATATTTGATTGTTGGATAACTTAGTGTTCAATCTTATTTTTATAGCATAAATGACGACTATTCACTAAATGTTATTTAGTTTTTGGATAGCGTCATTGCTCATCTCTTGCAACAATTTCTTAGTTTGAATATTCGACCATGAACTAGGAAAATGCTTATAGTCTTTCTCAAGTGTTTGAGGATACTGACCAATGAACTTCATTAAGGCTTTCCTAAAATTGACTAGTTGCACTTAGAGTATATGCTACATTTGATCTATTACATAACATATATAACAAAATGAGAAAATGAAGAAATTGTAGTAAAGCACAAAGGCTAGAAAGAAGAGTTTAGAGCAGTAAAGGAGATTCTATTTTAGTTCTCCTCTAATTTTCTTCTGTATATTTACACTTATAAACCTTGGTATATAATTGTTTTACCAAATTGTCAACTTGTGAACATTTATATACAAAAAAATAATGCAAAAAAAGGGAGAAAGAATAGCAAAATAACATAAATATTATGTTGAGTTCTTCGATCCAAATAGCATGACTTCGTTGTAGAAAGTTCTCCACAAGGTTATGTATAAGGATCCCAACTCTCATTTAGGGTCCTGATCGCACACACACCATATAATAATTATTGAAATAATTTGCGCAACAAAGTTTTAGGATTTAAAAGTACATCATTGCACATTTAGTTATAAAAAAATATCCAAAATTCTTAAGACATGTCTAAACTCTAAAAATAAATAATTACTATAAAGAAATAAATAATCTTAACTATTATTAGTAATAAAATAAAATAGAATAATTTTCTAGATCTCTCACTATTCAAAAATAGGGTTGTGAATGTCATGATCTGAAAAAAATAAATAAGTAATTGTGTGAGCTACATAAACTCAATAAAAATGCCAAAACTTAAAAACCATAATAACTCATCAAAGCGTTCTAAAAAATAAT